GAGGCTACAATGGTGGTATAATGGTGTGGGGGATATTTTCTTGGTACACTTTGGGCCATTAGTATCAATTGAGCATTGTGTCAATGCCACAGCCTACCTGAGAGTCGTTGCTGACTATGTCTATCACTTTATGACCACAGTGTACCCATCTTCTGATTGCTACTTACAGCAGGATAACGCACCATGTCATAAAACGCAAATCATTTCAGACTGGTTTCTTGAACATGACAATAAGTGCACTGTACTCAAATGGCCTCCGCAGTCACCAGAGCTCAATCCAATAGAGCACCTTTGGGATGTGGTGGAATGGAAGGGCCTACTTGCGTTATGCTATCTGAACCGTGCCCAGGCCCGTTTCCCAGATCGTTTGAGAAGTGTGAGGGCTCCGAATCGGGCTCAGGCACGGTTCACTCGGCCCGCCCTAGCCTGGTTGGAAGAGGTGTGCCTGAGTGCGATTCTCTTGGCCTTTGGCGCGGTACGCTTTTGTGTGAGTGCAAAACGTGACTGACTCCGAAACTCAAAGCGAGATGTGACTTTTAAGGGACTGTTTGATATGGATTTATTAATCATTCTTACTGTTCAATTAACGCAAACTGCCGTAGTTTATTAAAGACGCAAACCCATCACTGCACAACAGCTGCACCTTCAGCAAACCTCCTAATTCCTTCAGCTCAAGGACTTTATGATTGTTTATGAATGTCAAAAGTGGCAGATCTGTTTGGCGAAATATTTTACTGCGTGTCACTGCATCCCAAATGACTAAAGTGATTTAACTAAAGAAATCTCCACTGTGCTGAGCGAGAGCGCTTACTGAACAGCGCATCATCGGTGACGTAAGCGTGCCCAGGCTAGAATGTAATGTGAGTGCGGGCCGTCGGGGGAGACGAGAGGGGGGACAAGCGCGCTTTGGCCCGCTTCAAGGCAACTGTACAAAGTGTCAGTATGCCCGAAGATTCGCATCATGGATGTGCAGCCGACAAAACTGCAGAAATTGCATGATGCTATCATCACAATTTCGGAGGAATATTTCTAGTATCTTGTTGAACCTGTCATAAAGGAATAAAAAAGTTCTGAAGGCAAAAGGGAGTCCAACCTGGTCCTATTAGGGTGTACCTAAGAAAATGGCCAGTGACTGTGTAACTATTTACAAATATTTACTTCTCAAAAATTATTGCACCTGAAATTAAAGCTTCTACAAATGTATGTCCAATCCATCCACAAAAATAATGGATCATTCTTCATTTCTAATTTCTCACCACAGGTTTTATAGCAACTAAAGAAAAAAAAAAAGGTGTAAGATCCCTGATTTAAAAAAAAAAAAAGTGAGGCATAGTTGAAGCCAGAAGCTAAACCACAGACTGTGGGGAATAGAAAAAAAAGTAATTTTGTTAGCTCTGATTTCATACGTGGTTTTGTCTGTTATGACTAGACCGTTTTATGCGTTATAACATATCAGCACTATGCGCTCTCCTGGCCCGAATAAAGCAGTGTTAAATTAACACAACAGCTCAGTTTCCCAAGTCGCCTTCAAAAACTGCTTTTTCTAAAAAGGTTGTTGTGCAACAGCTTTTCGTTTCAGGCTAAACACAAACACACACACACACACACACACACACACACACACACACACATACAGACATGCGTGTTTGTTACCAAATGTGTATTACCAATGCTTATTTGTCTGGATTCATTTTGTAAACTATTTGTCTGATTTATATGTACTTTTGCAGTTTGGAATATGCAACCTATGTTTTATTTAGCAAAACAATTACTTCTGCATGAATTAAATAAATCAATTGAGTATATCGAAAACCCTTCAAAGCTATTGACAGGGTGGCGTTTTGTAATTGTTTTACCTTTTATTTGGACGCTCACCTTTCAAGACGATCAATATTAATATATGAGTCAATATTGATTCAATTACTGAGTCTGAAATTTTAAAACAGTCCAGGGAATAACATGACTGACATGTAGATCCCTATAGAATCATTCGATCATCAACTGTCTAGAGATTTACATAAAAAAGAGACCTTTGAATCTAGGGGAGTCTGACCATTCGTTCTCTAATCGTCTTTCTTTTTCCCCACTGCGGTTTACCATTTTCTCCTGCCTCTCAGGTTTGATATGGTGGACATCTCTCTCTCATTTTGTCATCACTCACTGTGGACAATTGTTTAAGGCAGCCTGACCTTGACCCACCAGCATCTGTCATTCATAGTGTCACATAGTCGCTCTCAGGCAAAAAATCACAGGGAGAAAAAAGGTCATTACCGCCTCGTCACTCACTCGGGAGCGTGTCAGATAATTCCAGTATATGAACTGATAGCACTGTAATGCATAGGCTTAAATATGAAAGGCAAAATAAAAAGGCTTACTGATTTATCCAATTACATCTGACCAGGGTATTGAGAACTTAATCTCCTAAAGATAGATTTGATGGGATGGTGTGTACAGTATATATGTACTATAATGCTCCAGTCACTGTTGACATTGACATTGCTCAGCCGGATTTTGTCTGTTTTTAAAAATAAAAATCCTCTGTAGTTCTCAGAAGTCTTACAGCTTAATGTTTGGTCCAGTTATTCTGCTTGTTGAAGATTACGATTTCTAAATTTAAGTTTTGTGATTGCTTTATGGTCCACTACATTGAATGAGTTATATAAAATGATTAGCGAAAAGAAAATCTCAGGCAGTAAACACTGACTGACAGGGCTTTCCTCACTGAAGTGTTTTCCACACACTTGATATTTATATGACAGCAATTTTGAGGCCAGGCGTTCGCTGCATAATTGAGACAAAGAGATCTGTCATAACAAGCTTTTTCTGTTATCAGTTAATAAAGCTGCTCCTTAACACTGCATCTCATTGAAGCATGATTTCAAATGCATTCTGCTGGATTGCTTTTTTCATTCTCTTTTATTTCTTGCAAACTGTGTTTCAATCATCCTTCGAATTGCGCTAATTGAAAATGTGACTTTTGCATGTATCACAAATAACATAGATACAATAGTTCTACAATAACAAAAATCTATTCCCAAAACTGCAGTATTTTTGTATTTACCGAGCATTTGCTGTCAGATAATCATCCTTTATACCAGTGTTTTCCAACCCCGTTCCTAATGGCACACCAACAGTACACATTTTCAACCTCTCCCTATTGAATCAGCTCATCAGAACATGGGTCAGATAAGGGAGATGTCCAAAATATGTACTGTTGGTGTGCCTCCTGGAACAGGGTTGGAAAACACTTCTTCATACATACTGCCATGAGTTTTTCTTTCTTACTTTTTTTTCACCCCAAGATGCTCTATTGCATTGCACAACACAAAAATTGATCTGTCCATCTAGAAATTCTATATTCACAGTTCCCAGGACAGGCTCATTAGAAATGCATGCATCAGCCTATGTTTTTTTTCTTTTTTTTTCTGAAGGATAAATTATGTTGCTCTTGGTACATTTTGATGCATGCTTTAGATGACAGATCCACTAGAGGGTGCTATCTATATTTTTTGCAAATGAAATGAGACACTTGGGGTATGTTTAGTTGTACATTTCATATACTCATTCTACTTGCAGATTTCAACAAGATGGCAGGGATTGTTATACAGATCAAAACCACTGATCTAAATCCTTCCTTAAACCAAACTAGTGGTCTTCAAAAACAAACGCACGAACAAAGTGAGTAGACTTTTCTCTTTTGTGGATTTGTAATCACTGGACTCGAAGCAGAGTAATCAGCATCACAAGTACAACAATGTATAAAGTGAGCTACTGAGAAATCTGACCACGCCTGAAAATCTGTGTTTATGGAAATAGATGCAGTATACTGTATGAGGCAAATAGATATTTACAAATCATAATTATCTTTGAGTTGTTCTGTGGTATTTATTTGTTGTTTTTCAAAAAACTGCATGAAAATATCTAATTTGTTGACTAACATGTCCCAGTAAATTTGACAAAGAAACAAATGTTCTTGTTCTAATACTGCCCCCATATTTTTCATTTTACCTACAAACTGCAGTCAAATGTATGTTGTTGAAGCCTGTGTTGTCAGTTCCACTGTAAAATCACATTTTAACCTCCATGTGTGGTTTTTAACTTAACATAAATGCTTGGATAAAATGCCTACAGTACATATACAGTTGAAGTCAAAATTATTAGCCTCCCTGAATTATTAGATCCCTGTTTTCTCCCACAATTTCTATTTAACGGAGAGATTTTCTTCCAAAACATTTCTAAACATAATAGTTTTAATAACTCATTTCTAATAACAGATTTATTTTTTCTTTGCGATGATGACAGTAATATAATATAATATTTGACTAGATATTTTTAAGACACGCCTATACAGCTTAAAGTGACATTTAAAGGCTTAACTAGGTTAATTAGGTTAAATAGGCAGGTTAAGGTAAATAGGCAAGTTATTGTGTAGCGATGGTTTGTTCTGTTGACTATTGGGGAAAAAAAAAAGCTTAAAGACGTTTATACTTTGTATATTATACTCCTGTAATTGTGCATTTTTGTTTGTATAACACTGGATAATAAAAACACTGTTATTTTTAATCATTTTTAAATTGACATTTAGAAAATTATTATGAATAAATCATATATCATAAATTTAAATCATAAATCTTCTGTTGTCTTCTATCCCACTAAAGAAGTAGTTATTAACTCCTTAGTTTCAACCCCCAATTTATTATTATTTTTTTATCCTACATGTTTAAAAGAAGAACAATCAAATAAAATTTTATATTGTATAGTCATGCTTAGTACAGCAAAAATGTAGAAAAAACCCTGAACTGCACAGTATAATTTGTATGGTGATCTGTCACATGGTCAAAGCTTGCCAAATTTGTGAAATTTGGTTTGTGAATTAATGCATGAAATCATCTACATTTAATTTGCATTTATAAGAAACATCACTGAAGCAAGTGTCTGAGTATATGTAGTAAAACCGTTAATTGTTTACATGTTGTTGAATGGCATGCTTTGGAAATTACCTGTGTTGTAGTGCTTGGTGCAGTATCTCAAATCAGACTCGTCTTTGAGGATGAACTGTGGAAGGGTCAGTCCATCAGCCACCTGCACGGGTCCCTTTTCTTGCCACTCAAAGATCAGGTCATTCATTGTGTAACCAACTAGATGAAAGAGCAAGAGAAACATTTAGATTTTTCAGTATTGGTAGTAATGGGATGGAAAATGTTGTGAAATTATAGTCATTCTGAAAATAACTCAACTGTTAGAATTTAACATTAAAATAAACATTTTCACCAATCTTCAAAGAATATTCTTGACATCTGTAACTATATTTAAAAAGTAACTGTAATTAATGTCTGCAGTTATATCTTTAACTAGTGTTCTCTCTAATCATTAAAAAATGTTTGTTATTCCAATTGTTTGAGTTTAGTTTTTTTTTTTTGTACCCAAAAAGCAAGATATACTAAAGAGTAATGTAGGAAAAAAATGCCATTGATCTCCATAGTAAGTAATAATATTACATTGTTTTGTGTTTAAAAGAAGAAAGGAAGTCATAAAAATGTAGAAGAATATTAGTGAGAGAATTTTTATTTTAGGGTAAACTGTCATTTTGACCTAACCTCAAACGCTTTTAGCCTTAATTACAACTATAGGAGTTTGCAATAAAGCATAATTAAATTTACTATTGTACTAAGCAATGACATTTGTATTAGTACACAGTTATTGGCATTACATATATATATATATATATATATATATATATATATATATATATATATATATATATATACACACAGTTGAAGTCAGAATTATTAGCCCCCAAGATAATTTTTTCTTCTTTTTTAAATATTTCCCAAATGATGTTTAACAGAGCAAGGACATTTTCACACTAAGTCTGATAATATTTAATAATATAATATAATATAATATAATATAATATAATATAATATATTATAATATAATATAATATAATATAATATAATATAATATAATATAATATAATAAATATTAATAACATTTTTGGGACAAATTTATTAGCCCCTTTAAGCTAATTGTTTTTTTTTTTTTGATAGTGTACAGAACAAACCATCGTTATACAATAACTTGCCTAATTACCATAACCTGCCTAGTTCACCTTATTAACCTAGTTAAGCCTTTAAATGTAACTTTAAGCTGTATAGAAGTGTCTTGAAAAATATCTAGTAAAATATTATTTACTGTCATCATGGCAATGAATGACATGAGTTCTTAAAACTATTATGCTTCGAAATGTGCTGAAACAATCTTCCCTCCATTAAACAGAAATTGGGGGAAAAAAATAAACAGGGGCGCTAATAATTCTGACTTCAACTGTGTGTGTGTATATATATATATATATATATATATATATATATATATATATATATATATACACACAC